TTGTATTGTATTGTATTGTATTGTATTGTATTGTATTGTATTGTATTCCATTCTATTCCATTCTATTCCATTCTATTCCATTCAAGTGACATGACCATATCCATACCATCTTTGTAAATGGTGAAAGGACCAGAGGAATATTTGGGGTGGCTTATCTTATAATCCTTTTTGTTACATCAGTTGTCAGTCTGGCTATCAGTAGCATTATTTATAGGTAAGCCCAGTTAGTAGAATCTTTCCTAGGCTAGATAAAGAATCTAATCCCTGTCTAGATGCCCATTCAAGGGATTGTCAAGGGCCAATTGGAGAATTTTCTTAATGATTTTTTGGTTTTTTTGAGCTATCTTTTTGAGCTTCTCTGTTAAGGAGTGAACTGTAACTCATTGTAATGCCTAGTCCCTTTCCTCATGTATGAATATTTTTTTCAGTCTTCCCCCAACAACCAAGTGACTCTGACTTCCTCATGGACTTCGCTTGTCAGAAAGTTGCACATGACTGCAACCGTCATAAATATATGCCAAGCATCCAAACTTTGATTACATGATTGCAGGGATGCAGCAACAGTCGTTAGTGTGAAAAATGGTCATAAGTCACTTTTTCTCAGTGCCGTTGTAACTTTAAACGATCACTAAACAAATGGTTGTAAGTCGAGGACTACCTGTATAACTATCTCAGACTTTGAGAGATCCTGTTCTCCCATATTAAAGTAATAGGTATTGTCCCCAAAATTCCACTAGATGGCTCCCCCTGCAAATCTTGGCATATTGGCTGTATTCAAACTTTAGAATGAAACCTATTTCTATAAATGCTGACAAAGCTCAGGAGTAGATTTTAATAGGACAGAAAAACCTGGGTGATATTCCAATCTCTGGTTAAAAGCTACCTGTCTGTGCAGGGAATAAGAGTTGGCAATGACTTGGTGGCACATAATCAATTAGAACTGCGTTTAACTGATTATTACTCTCCTATTTTTTCCTCTGCAATCACCTCTCTATGAAATAGGCTGGGCTGGGAAACAAATACGTACCCCAAATCATCCAGCGTGATATCGGACTGGACCCTGGTCTCCCTGGGGTCAGCCCAACACATTTAACCCTCTATTATTCCCCCCCCCCATGCCA